TACAAGGAAAAACAAATGCAGAAGAACACAAATGAGCTTAAGTCACTTGACATAGTCCCTGATGGATTGGCTAAATTTTAAAGAAAATTTACGCTAGGATAATAACATTCCAATATTCAGGATTATTAGCTACGAACGGGGATAAATGATGCACTGGGGCGTTTAAATTACCCATCCTGAGAGTCAGTAGAGCTCTTGAAGGAAATCTGGATTGACAAAGACCAGTGAGTCTTGGAAAGGGCATTGAAGGTTATTTTAATGCTTTGAGGTTTTCAGGGCCACCATGTTTTACAAGGATTGAACATGAAAATCACTTTCATTCTCCTTTTGGGATTTCGTGAGTTACTTGGGCTCTTAGATAATCCAGTTAAAGGAACTAATCTGCTCAATTCCTTGTTTCTAGAACTAGAAATGCAGAACTTGGATTTGATTCAGGAAAGGGCATGCCAATGCGGATTACAGAACAAAAGATAAATACTGATTTGCATACAATACTATAGTTGGGATCCAGATTTGGTGAGCCTGCTTCTTTTTGATAATATAATCATCCAGCTTTTAGTATTCCAATGGGGTTTTCATACTCCCATTGACTTCAATAGAGGTGCGGACATTCAAAGATGAATATATCCCCTACTACTGTTTTCCTGTCTGACCTATAGGTTTGTCTGGGTTGTAATGTTTTTGACCAAGGTCCAGCTTTCAGCCTTCGGTTAGCATTTTAGTTAGAATTAGGCTAACATGATTAAAAACTCCTTGCCCAGTTTGACCCAACATGACAATGGGTTTGTCTTTTGGGGTTATTCTCATGGTTCATACCAGATCATTGTAAGCAGTGCACTCAATAAGCTCTCTTTGCTCATTGAACCTAGATGTTGATACAAGTGACACAATTCAAGTTGGTCACCTACGTGTTCAAAGCATGACATCTGGAGTTCTAATCTGCAATAAAATGACCTTGTATTTTAATATTGCTGACATAACGGAATATTTAAAGGAAAGTCCTTCCAGACATGCAAAACCGTTGACAGTGTTGCTAATGCTTGTCTCATCCTTTTCTTTCTACCTTTCTTTCTTGTTTCCCCTCGTATGTATACATGTTCTGCTATAAGATTTAAATTGCAATGAGGATGTAGAGTTTATGTACTGGAAACAGAGTTAGTTGAGTTAAATAGAATCCACAATAGACTAAAAGATGTTGTCATGAAAGCAAACGAGATTAGCTATTTCTCTTCCTGTGGGTAGAATGTCTTGAAGCTTTATGAAGGAATATGTTTTGATGTCCCCATCCCCTCCATTCTACTCCCCCCTGTCCTTAATTTTAACTTTTTGTATGTTTCATATGAAAGGCAGTGTCTGGTCATCACTTCACACCAATCAACATTTCATCTTTTGATATTCTAAGCCATAATATTGACAATGGCATCAATGGATTCTGCTTCATTTTTTCGGGACAAGAACCTAGGGGCAGAGTCTCCTATTTCTGTAAGTGCAACTATAGATGAATGTTTAAATCCTTCCTAAATCAAAGCATAATGTGATGTATCAAATATTTACAGGGCTTGATTGCATTGCTGGCAGCAATTGATGCTCTCTCTCATGTGAGTGGTCTTGGTGACCTTACTAAACAGGTGAATTTATATAGATGCTGCAGGTTTCTGTCCTTTCAGTTTATGTTGCTGTACCTTGTTCTGTTACTTGATTAGATCCATTGTCATTGAGCTTGATGAACTTCTAATTTCCCTATATGCTGCGAGTTTTGCTTTGCCTTGTAAGAAATTTATTAGGGTTATTAGGGTAAATCTTTCTTGTCAGTTGTGGTTCTGTTTTTTTTATAATCATTGATTTCCTTCGGAAAACTTCCTTCCATATTGGTGTGTTTGTTTTCTGGGAAAGAAAATTTATTACGGCAATATTTTTCTCAATCTCTAAATTTTGTATCAATCAATTATGTATGAAAATAAATGACTATTAGTTGAAAGTATATTTTTCGCATCCCACTCCAACATGCCATTGCTGATAGCCTGATGCCACCAGCACTGATGCTTTAGATCATGATTAATATCTTACCAGATATTAAATTACCTTTTTGGTCTCTATACTTCCAATTAATTGTAATTTGGTTCCTGCAGTCTAAAATACTGTAATTAGTTCCCAATAGTTTAAAAAAAAAAAACTTTAATTAGGTCCCTATAATCAACCTCCTGTTATTTCTCTTCTGAAAAATAGTGACCTTGACATGTAGTCACCATGGTTGCACTTAATTTTTCATACTTATATTGCCCATTCACCAGCAACTGAAGACGTGTGATTCATTTTCCCTCTCACATCTTACGCTTTTCTGATTGACTGGCTGGCATTAGATGAGTAGGATAAGTGGGCTAGGGATCGGGAGTTCAAAAATTTTCAGCAATTAGAACTTTTTTCCTTGTATGTCGGGAAATAAATTTGGAAACTTTTGCTAAAAAATCTCTATTTTCCTAGGAAACAAACAGATAGGTCTATATATCAATGTTCTGTTCAGATTTGTGAGAGATTTGATTGATCATTCTTTTGAGCGGTTTTAATATTTGAGTGTAACAAACTGTTGCAATGTAGCATTTTATTGCTGTTATGCCTTGTGCAGAGCGTGCAAATAAAGTATAATACTTTGGACCACATAAATCCTTGTATATTTGGGTCTGTGGGAAATTGAACTGCATTCAAAATGGCTATTTATGCCTTGTCTAGCTTCTGTTTTAAGTTTTAAAGTATTTGATTATGCTGGCATAAAAATGGTGGCGGAACTTTATAAAGGCCATATCCAGATACCTGCAACGTTGTCCTTTGTCCTTGTTTCTGTTTTAAATTCTTCTTCTGGGATTGTTCTTGGTTGAAACATTTGGTTGGGTGTTAGTCTGGATTTTGGGAAGCCATTATATGCTTTCTTTGTGTCCTAATCTGTTCCATGATGACTATAATGATGTGCTTTTATAGCTCACAAATACTTCTAAAGTGGGAGTACTAGTATTCTACCATTTGTGATTGCAAGTGGTATATCTGGTATACTTGTTAATCTGAGTCATCCAACAAAATAAACATGGGTTGCATTTCAAGCACGTATAAATTATCAATAAGATAAGACCATTTATGTTACATGTATACCATTAATGCTTTTCAATGCTTTATTGCTAATATTTTCTTAACCCCAATGCAGCTTGTCTTTGTAGTTTTCACGGGTGAGGCATGGGGTTACCTTGGGAGTCGAAGATTTTTGCTTGAGCTTGACATGCATTCAGATGCTGTCCATGGGCTTAATAACTCACAAATTGAAATGGTATTTTTCTGCTCTTGTATATGACTATTAGGTTGGTGTTAAGAGTGATTGCATTCCTGCCTATAAATTAATAAAATATAATTCTTATAAGGGCCTTTTGGCATTAAATTTTGCTGTATTGAATTCTATCATGGTCTGGGCTTCTACTCCCATCACATCTCCGAATTGTAAAATAACAAGCATGATGTTCTTTTCTCATTATTTCTGTGACTTTATCATTGTTTTCATGTATATGTTAAATAATAAGCTGACTATTGGTTTTTGGGTGGCATTAACAGGTTATTGAAATTGGTTCCATTGGAAAGGGTTTCAGTGAAGGTGTTCATAATTTTTTTGCTCACACATCAGGGGTGAGGTCTTGACTGATCTATTAACTTCTATTAACTTTGCGTACATCCATGCCTCTTCTAAATAATTCTGAAATTTCTAGATGGATACAATGCAACTGACTTTCTTCATAGTTCATATTTTTGATATTTTTGACTTCAAATCTCTATGGCCAGTTAGTTAGCAATAGCAATTTTTGTAAATTCTGCCCTGCTTCTTGTAAAACATGAATTGTGATGCAATGTGAGCAAGTTGTTGGAAGTTTAAAGGCCCAAACCAACACACACCGTGGGTGTGTTTCACTTAAGTTTATTATTATTATTTACCTTGTTTATTGCTTTATAAGTGGTTATTTTTTTATCAACTAGATTTTAACCTAGATTTCCCTACATGGTTAAGCATACACGCTAGTTGAGAATATATGTAATTGTGGCTTGCTGCTGGTAAATAACATAAAAAACAGAGTAATTCGCCTCTGTACCTCATGGTATCCAAGTGTGCAGGATCCAGTGAGAGATAACGAGTGAAACAAACTGTGAGGGAGAGACTCTATGCACTACCCAAGTCATCGGACCATCAGAACACCATGGGCAATGACCGTATTCTCCAGTTCAAGCATTTCAGACCAATAACCTTAGAAACACACACTCCAAATAAGACCTAGAACTAATTGAGCCAAACGAAGACCTATGGCTTTAATATGATGCAACACCACAGCCTACCAGCCCTATCGAGTTTAATCACAGGCCACAAACTTGATGGGGAAGAACTATCTCCAATTGTCTCAGTCCTTCTTGGTATTCATTAGAGCAAGGGGAAGAAAGAATACATTGACAGATGGTGTATCATTCACCAGCTTGAGGGGGACTTTTGGAAGTCTAAAAGCCCAAGCCAAAACACCATGTTTTACTTAAGTTTATTATCATTATTATTTACCTTGTTTGTTGCTTTATTAGTTTTATTTTTTATTAATTAGACTTGACTAGATTTACCCTACTTGGCTAAGCATACATGCTGGCTCAGTATATATGTAATCGTGGCTTACTGCTTCTGCTGAATAACATAAAAACAGTAATTCACCTCTGTTTCCTCATGTAAAACCTGGAATCTTGATGTGAACTTCTGTGAATAGTTCAGGATTGAGTTCTTGTGTGATTCATTTGTTCAACACAAGTAATTTTAGTTATCTTCTGTTCCCTTCACATGATGTGCCTGTAACCAAGCAACGCAATCAAATCATATGATTTCATTTGATATATCGTGCATGTAACGGAACTATGCAAGATGGTAACTGATTTTTCTTTCTACATTGCTTGATATAGAGGATATTACCACATTTTACTGATCACTAATAGCATATCAATGCAGGTATCTTCTGCTACAAATGAGACATTGGCTGCCTTGAGGCATGCACAAGAGTCATTGCTGCCTGAGAACATTAAGATCACGTCTCCAAGTGACTCAAATCCTGGGATACCTCCATCATCCTTTATGGCATTTTTGAAAAAGGTATTTAATACTTTTTTTCTCTTTTAGTTTGCCTATGAGAACATTATTATCCAAAGACAACTGAAGAGCAGACCAATGAGTACTGCCATTATATGAATGACATTTTTTGGAGGTGTTTTCTTAAAAAACAGTGTCTTAGAATTTAGATTTGTAAAAGCAAAAGAAAAGGATGAAGTGATGCTAATGATTCTAAGTTTGTGAACATTGCTTTGGAAGTTCTAAGATTTTTTTTTTCCCCTTCCAAAAGTTGCCTTGTTTCTATATTCTCCATCATTTATAGTCCTAGATTGTGCAAAATTGGTTGTACCTTTATATCTCCCTTTCTAGTTGCTTTATGTAACAGTATCTTTGTTTTCATGTCTATTGCTATTGACTCCTGTGTTTAGTTTTCACTTGTCTTTGATTTTAAGGAACTTCTGAGGTTCAGTTGCAGCTCCCTGAGGTGGTGCAGTTCCAATAACTTTACCTCCTAATCTATAGGCATGGTTGTCCCATCCCCCCTAATAGTAAAAGAATATCAAAAATAATATAAAACGAGGTATAAGCAGACAAAATTGGCTTTCCACCAGCAAACACTCAGCATGAAGATAGCCCCTGTTAAAATTGGGTTGGTTGGCATTTGTCTGAATGTTGTTAGATGTACTCTACATTACATGCTGGACTGCTACAGGGAACATTTCAACTACACTAAAACATTAGGGGGCAGTAATCCTTTAACAAAGGATTATATGGACAATGTTACTAGTATACCAACTGACCATATTATTAATGTGTCATCATATCACGGTGATTCATATTATTTGATTTTAGTATCGCTTATGGTCTGAGGAATGGAACGGGCAAGGTAACCTTGAGGTAGATTCAAGTTTGAGAAAAGTTCAAGATGAAGCTCACCATATCCGAGTTTGGGACTATTTTTTTTGGGTTAATGATAAGGGTCATTATAGTCTTTTGATAATTTTTGATGGATTATAAAATAAAATTATGGCAAGTATTCTATCTAAATATTACTTTATACCAAACATACTTTTAAAGCCTCAATACCAACTCCAATCCCATTACCAGTCCCAGTCCCAATCCTTTGAAATTCATAGCTTCATACCAAACAGGGCCTAAGATCCTAGTCTAACCCAGTACTCTGTAAATGAAATTTTTCCTTGTTACATGTTTAGAAGGACAAATGGACAATGATTAAGAAAAGTGTCATTCCCTGAAGCTCATAATAAGAGGATGCAATGGAAGGAAAAAATTAGATAACAGAGCACCTTCCTTGTTTTCTATTGTCCAGATTGCCAATGAAGTATGAAACCATTGCCAATTGCCTTGCTCTAGAGAATATTGCATTTGTATTAATTGCTAGAATGCCATAGATGAAGGGCTGGTTTCAGTTCCCTATATGCATTTATATGTTTGAAAGTGCACTTTGCCCTCTCATTTGTGGCTTAAATCATATTGACTTGCATTAATTTATATTAATGAACCAATTTTATTTAGTTTTACTTTACTCTTGCGTCTATTGAACTGGTAAATATTGCTAGATACTTATGTCAAGTGGTTGGTATTCTAAAGTCAATTTCCTTTTGTGTATTGCCTTTTCGTTTTTAGCAGAATCCTGCAATCTCTGGGTTTATCTTGGAAGATTTTGATGCTGTCTTTACCAACAAGTTCTACCATAGCCACCTTGATGATTTATGTGAGCTGAATTATAAGATTGGCATTTTTTCCCCTCTTTCTCAGGATTTTTTTACCACGTATCCTTGAGTCACATGCCTTTTCATTTGATTGATTTATGCAGCAAACGTAAACTCATCAGCTATAGCTGCAGCTGCTTCTCTTGTTGCCCGAACTCTGTACATTCTTGCTATTGAAAAGGAAGATTTGAAAGATTCAGCTTTAACTGCTATAAATGTAAATGCGTCACTTGTTGAAGAACTTATGGGTTGCTTATTGACCTGTGATCCTGGCCTTTCTTGTGAATTAGTGAGGAGCTATATTTCACCTTCATCAGCCTGTCCTAGCCATTATGTTGGTGTTTTCGTTGATGAACCTTCATCTACGCCATACCCAGGATACATTAACGATGTTCCCAGATTTATCTGGAATTTTTTATCTGACAAAACCTCTATTTCAAAGGAAAATGGTAGCACCGGTTGTCAGCAAGATTGCAAAAGTAGGGATGAAGTTTGCATTAAAGCAGAGACTGACGGGAAGGGGGTTTGTGTTACCTCTACAACCAGGTATTTTACTTCTTTCTGTTTACTGACTCAACTTCCTATCGTCAGTGACAGTAGATGGTGATGCAGTATTCAATATATTTGCTACTGTGTATTTTTAATTCCCCCTACTGGTAATATCTATCCTACATGTCAAGTTAGAAAATTGTGTTATTCTCTTTTAAACCTCACGTTGCCATAAGCTGCCATCTATTTTAATCCTTGCAGGTATGTCCCAGCGTATTCAACGCGATTAGAATATGAGTCAGGAGTATGGAATGTCTTGCCCTCTAATTCATCTGACAACATGGGAGTTGTGGACCAAGTCTGGACAGAAAGTAATTGGAACACAATTGGGATTCAAGTGTACACTGTCCAAGATGCGGCTTATGATCGTCTTGTTCTGTTTGGGGGTATCACCGTTACAATATTAGCATATGTTGCAATAGTAATTACAAGAGCTGTGATCACCAAAGCCATGAAGAGGGATTGATTTTTTTTTTTTTTGGAGAATTGCCCAGAAATTTTGGTGACTAGGGATGAATCAAATAGGATTATTTGGCAGTCAAATTTTCAAGGATGTGAAATATTTTGGCAGCATCCTTGTGCGTGTGAATTCTATGTAGGAATTCTGTCATTACCACAACTTGTAGGGCAATCATAACTTTCTGTAACTGAAGGAATAAGAAAAACTGGAAGGTCTTGTGATATGTCAGTCTTTTCCTTTGCCCCTTTGTGCTGTAAATGTCAATTGCGGTACGTGTTGTATAAATTTAACGTAGTTTCTTATTGTCTCAATTTTAATCGTGAATGCCTAATTCATTTGTGAACGTTGGTTGAAAAAAATTGAACAGCTGGAAGGAAGACACGATGTGTGGAGGGACGGATGGATAGTGTATTTCAGGGGAATGGTAATGATGGAGTACTTAACTACAGTGGGAAGGATGGTCGAAATAGATGTGTAGTTGTACTATTATCCGAAATCAAAGAGGAATTGAAGTGCGTTTAATATATTTAGGAACTTTTAAGTGGCAAATCTGATCTCAGTGGTGAGTTCTTCAAGGTTTATCATCGGGGTTTTTAGTGAAAATGCTAGTACCAATTACCAAGATTGCAAGGAAAAATCCTTTAATAGTGGCATTTATAATGAAACTGTCGTTTCTAATATTGGAGGTAGAAGCTCTCTTTTCCTTCCCCTCTCGTGTAGCTCCTTTTAAATAAATTTGGAAGAAGAAAAATGGGGGTTTCTTCTAATTAATACATCTATAATGTCTTTCTTTTGTGATAACATCTGTTATGCCTTAGGTTATTCCTATTAGTTTTATCCAAAAAAAATATATAGTTATTCCTATTAACTATATCATGTATTAACTATAGACTGACGGGCACCGTTGAGAAATATGCATGTCTGCCTGTGCGTGGCAACTACTGATGGGAAAATATATAGAGCTTACTGTTCCAGTGTTCCAGACAAAAGGCACACTTCGGCCCATCCAGAGGCTAGGATTGGTTTTCTACGGTTTTCATAAAAATCAAATCTTGAAATTTGAGTTGTTACAAGTATTATTCAACAAACTAGTAAACTTGTTGGTCCAAAAAACAAAGTTGTAAACTTCATGTTCACCAAGTGTAAGTCGGTTAATGAGTCCTCCGAAAAGTTCGAAGGAGCGAAAGGAAAAAAATCTACAGGGTGCTGAAATCATACGCAAAATTATTTATTTATGAAGCCTCAATGTATTTTTGGGTCATATTCAACTAAAATCATTAACAACTTCGAAGGGGGGAAAAATTCTGGACAAAAATTATTAATTTTTTTTTTTTCTTTTAAGCTTGGTCGGGTAGACGGGTACGGGCCGGAATAACCATCAATGGCTTAGTGAGGTACTGTTAATCTCTGTCTCTCTGCAATTTCGGTCTTCAATCCCAGAAACGCAAACAGCTTAAAGAATTTGGGGTGAAAAACTGTGATCAGAGATCTTGAAGCGTCAAAATCCAAAATTCGAGGAGGTAAAGAATTGAAAGAAGGAGATTGAGGCACGCAGAAAATGGGATTGGGTGCATTAGCATCGAAGGTCGTGCGACCCACCTCAAGGATGCTGGGTTCCCAGAATCCAGGGAACCTGCTACTTCGAACCATAGTTACCAAACCGGAGCTTCGGAAGCCGGAAGCTGCGGCTGCTCAAGCCCAACCGCAACAGCCTCCGGCCGATCTTCCGCCGCGAACTCCGGTCGGCGGAGCTAGAATCCACTTCCCCAATCCAGAGGATGCTCTTGAGGTCTTTGTTGATGGGTATCCAGTCAAAATCCCCAAGGGCATGACTGTTCTACAGGCATGTGAGGTTGCGGGTGTTGACATTCCACGCTTTTGCTATCACAGTCGGCTATCGATCGCCGGGAACTGCCGTATGTGTCTTGTTGAAGTGGAGAAGTCTCCTAAGCCTGTTGCTTCTTGCGCCATGCCCGCCCTTCCGGGTTAGTTTCCCCCTTATATTTTTATGAATTCTTAGTTTTGTTCCCAATCCTTATTATTTTTAATTGTGTCTGGTTTCGGTTGGTTTCATTGTTTTATTTGTTTTTGGGTTGATTTTGTTACCTTTCTCGAGTCAGATAAGTCGATGAAATGTTTGACTTTTTACTTGTACGGTCACCTTTTATTGTAAGAATTAATCTGCATGTTCTGCATATCTTTGCAATTCATTCGTATTACATTCTTTTAATCATTCCATTGAGTCTAGTATTTGCTCTGTAACTTTGATTCGTCTACTTTATTTGTACATTGCAAACGCTATTGATATCATGGAAGTAAGAAGAATCCTTTGTTCTAAACTTTGAGTTTGAATTTTGCCTGTCAAACGTTGAGCTGACATTTCTGTGTGTAGAATTCATTAGTCTGTTTTTTCTGGTTCATTTATTTAATACACAATACTTTGTGCGTGCTCACGTCATCTTGTTTTGATCATATGCTGATCTTCCCTCAATTGATGTTATCTTTCTTCATTAACTATTGTTATGATCCACTTTTCCTTTTTCTTGATAACATCTACTTTTCCTTTTTCAATTTAGAGAAATTAAAAAAAAAGAGAAAGTGTGTGTGATGTTTATATTGATAGTTTATATAATTTTAAATTCAAATTTGACTTGGCTTTAATTAATTGATTGCTAATCAGTTCTTAATTTTATTTTTCTGGATGATATAATCTAATTGGATGTTGGGCTCTAGGTATGAAAATTAAGACTGACACACCTCTGGCAAAGAAGGCTCGAGAAGGGGTGATGGAATTTCTTTTAATGAATCATCCATTGGACTGTCCAATTTGTGATCAGGGTGGGGAATGTGATCTTCAAGATCAATCAATGGCATTTGGTTCTGATCGAGGTCGGTTCACTGAAATGAAGAGATCTGTGGTGGATAAAAACCTTGGTCCTTTGGTGAAGACTGTGATGACTCGGTGTATTCAATGTACAAGGTCAGTATTGGGTTTAGATCCTACATTTTTATGCAAATCTGATGTGATTATAACAAATTACAAAATTTTATAGACTTTCCATGTAATTCAAGTAGCGCATATATTGTAATTTAACTTCACTAATTAATTGTGAGTTACATCATAATGAAGCTCTTATTTAACATAAGTGAAGTCTGAACTCTATATTGCATAGGGTCTAGATGTTTAATGTATTTTATTGATTCAATTATTTGTGATTTCTTGGTATTGCTAGGTTTCAAGGCTTCTTGCAAAATTGAAACCTATGTATTTTCTGTTGTTGTTTTGGCAGACCTTGAATTGGTAATACTTTCTATTTTCCTCTTATGGAAGAGATTTATTATTATAAGATTTCTGATGGTTCAGGAATTGTGGACATTGTTTTAAAATATCTTTTTAATATCTTTTATTATGATTTTTCTTATTGGATCATTAAAAGAACAATCTGTCATCTATTTTATTTTATTTTTCATCCCCCTCTATCTTGGTTGAGAAGTCTGATTAGATATTAGATATTGTGTGTTTCAGTGCCAAATTTAAGGGACATTTGCCGACTGCATTTTAATTTTTAGCCTTCAGGCAAGTTACTGGAAACAAATTTCAGGCTGTCTGATTCTGTTTCAGTCCTTTTGGCTTACATAATATTTACTAGTTTTCTTTAGGATAGAGTGATGAATGATTATCTATATCTTGTACAGCTTCTGATTTCAAAATTTGGTGGTAAAGATGCGTTGGTATGTTTATCACATTCATCCTTCAGCAATGGGAAGCACAGTTAATCCTGTCTTTGTTTGGTCATGTAAATTTATTTTATTTGTGAGCCTGACAGAATATCTCTTTTATCCATAGGTGTGTTAGATTTGCAACAGAGGTTGCAGGAGTTCAGGATCTTGGCATGCTTGGCCGTGGCAGTGGAGAAGAGATTGGAACATATGTTGAAAAACTTATGACTAGTGAACTTTCTGGAAATGTGATAGATATCTGTCCTGTGGGAGCACTTACTTCAAAGCCTTTTGCATTTAAAGCTCGGAATTGGGAGCTGAAGGGAACAGAGAGTATTGATGTTACTGATGCTGTTGGATCCAATATTCGAATTGATAGCAGAGGACCAGAAGTTATGCGCATTGTACCTCGTTTAAATGAGGTTAGATTCTGATAAGTTTTGTCTAGCTATCCGTATTTCCTTGGTTGTGGCTTCTTTGGAATGTTTGATTTCTTACCTCTGAGGTATTTTTCTTCCTCAATCCAACTGTATATTCTTTAGCCAAAGTGTATGATTAGTTCATATCTTATGTTATGCTGGTATCTATGAAGCACTTCGAGCCTTCATATTTGACATTATGCAGTTCATTACAAAATAGAATAAAGAAAAATTCCAGCCTCCATCTGCTAAGTATGGGAAATATTGGATTTTTCTCCCGTGGTATTACTGATTTGGCTAAATAAGCAAAATGACTCCATATTTTGACACCCCTTCTGAAATACATTGTAGGAGGAATTATATGGAGTATGAGCTAAAACTTGTGAATTTTATATTTATCTACTGTCAATAAGTGGGAAAGGCCTGTTCTACTTGCCCATTGCAGGACATAAATGAAGAATGGATTTCAGACAAGACTCGCTTTTGTTATGATGGTTTGAAGAGGCAGAGATTAAATGACCCTATGGTTCGTGGTCCTGATGGGCGCTTTAAGGCTGTAAGTTGGCGTGATGCCCTTGCTGTGGTTGCAGAGATTGCCCACCAAGTTAAAGCAGAAGAAATTGTTGGAATTGCTGGCAAACTTTCTGATGCTGAGTCTATGATGGCGCTAAAAGATTTCTTGAACAAAATGGGATCAAATAATGTATGGTGTGAAGGAGTAGGTGTAAATACCAATGCTGATTTAAGGTCAGGGTATCTTATGAATACAAGCATTGCTGGTCTTGAGAAAGCAGATGTTTTCCTATTGGTTGGAACCCAGGTATGTCTTTATTTTTATGTTTTTGCTGACTGTTAATTTATATGGTCAAAATTTATTAAGAATTGCCTTTTATTGTCAATGAAAAACAAGGAAAAAAAACTTCTTAACTGCCTAGATAGACTCTTCAGCAAATATTTGCTTAAAACAGACCATTTTCCTGCCTCAGATGAAGAGAATTCAGACTCCTTGATTTGTCTTACATACTGATTGTCGAATTTGCAGCCACGGGTGGAAGCTGCTATGGTTAATGCCAGAATACAGAAGACTGTGAGAGCTTCCCAAGCTAAGGTTGGATACATTGGGCCTGCTACTGAATTCAACTATGATCATCAGCATCTTGGTACCGACCCCCAAACGCTACTTGAAATTGCGGAGGGTCGACATCCATTTTTCTCAACTATTTCAAATGCTAAAAACGCTGCCATCATTGTGGGAGCTGGGGTTTTTCAGAGGAATGACAAGGATGCAATTTTTGCAGCTGTTGATACCATTGCAGAAAAGGCAAAGGTTGTCAGACCTGACTGGAATGGCCTTAATGTACTGCTTCTCCATGCTGCCCAGGCTGCTGCACTAGACCTTGGGCTTGTGCCGCAGTCCGAAAACAGCATCGAGTCTGCAAAATTTGTGTATTTGATGGGTGCTGATGATATAAACTTAGACAAGATCCCAAATGATGCTTTTGTTGTATATCAAGGTCACCATGGGGATAGCAGTGTTTATCGTGCTAATGTCATCTTGCCAGCGGCAGCCTTCAGCGAGAAGGAAGGGACATATGAAAATACTGAAGGATGTTCTCAACAAACATTGCCTGCAGTTCCAACAGTTGGTGATGCCAGAGATGATTGGAAGATAATTAGAGCTCTGTCTGAGGTTTCAGGAGTGAGATTGCCCTATGATACAATCGGAGCTGTTCGCTCTCGAATCAGAACTGTGGCGCCAAACCTTGTGCAGATGGATGAGAGAGAGCCTGCTACTTTTCCAGCTTCTCTGAAACCTAAAGTCTCTGGTAAAATGAGTTTGAAGACTCCTTTTGGAGCTGCAGTGGAGAATTTCTACATGACTGATTCCATTACCAGGGCATCAAGGATAATGGCCCAATGCAGTGCTATGCTGTTGAAGAAGTAAAGAATTGATTTTTCGTTTTTGCCCTTTCCCGAGTCCAAATAAGAAATGCAGATTCACGTATTTCTTTTCCTGGACATTCAAGCCACAGTGCTAGGCCAGATTGGAATTGCATAATAAAACTTAGACAGTATCTGTTCCATGTATATTATGCAATGTAAAAGCATTACTTTTGTATTATTATTATTATGCAATAAAACTTAAACGGTATATGTTCCATGTGTATTGTGCAATGTAAAAGCATTACTTTTGTAGAGCGTAGGATTTTGGGTTGAACCAAATTCTAGAGTCCACTTCAAGCTTCATCTCCAGCTCTCCTATATTCTCTGGAAGTGGGAAAACATGTTTCAACAATTTTTTCCAGATTCTGACGAGGACACACTATTCCCGAGGTTCTGGTAAGTACACTTTTACTGTAACCTGAAAGATGTCGGCAACCTAGCATTGCGTGGAGGTGGAGGTGAGTTATATTATTTATTTATAATGAGTAAATTTTAATACAAATTTTACATTTTATATATTGATAATGATGATTGATTGATTGATTCTTGTTGAAGAAAAGACGAAGTTCTTGTTATAAACCAATGATTCTTTTATTGAACCATTGGCGGAAGGACATCGTCTCTTCATTTTATTTTTCCACTTCCTCTACGTGCATTTTTAGACATTCAAAAGAAGAAAGAGAAAAGGATCCGAATTAATTGTGCACAGCTTGTAAAGGGATTACTTTGGCTTTTTTTTGGGATTTAAAATAAAAAAGAAAAAAATAATAAAGAGTATATTTTGGAATTGAGAATGAAATCAAGTCGATAACCATATGGGTGGAGATGGCAGCATGGGGATGAGGACAATGGTAAAGGAGAATTAAGTTAAATAAAAATGTGTTTTGGTCTACACAATAAAACTATTGTGCATCTTATCTGTTGTATAAGGTCTGGGAAAATTTTTTTTAATATATTTTATTAAAATAAATAGATATATAGATTTGGAGAGAGACTTGGGTACTCTGAGCTACATGAAAAACCAGTATGCAATTTTTTATATAGCTATTTGACTAATTAAATTCAAATATTGTTGAGTTTAAGCGAAACTAACTCTTTTACAGAATTTTTTTTTCGTTAATACAAATTCAAAGTTAAAATCCTGTGTTTACTAAGATCAATGCAGGTTAGGTAGGATACAGTTTTTTGTTTTTGGTAAGAAACAAGTAATTTTATGCAGAGAATTAGTAGTTTGGGTCTTTATTGGGCTTTACTCAAGACGTGTTCTTTTCTTTTCTTTTCGTTTGCCAGTTGCTGCTTTGAGACGTAAAGAAGCAGAACCTTGCTAGAGAATTCGCTTTCTTTCTTTGGTTGATAGGTACCTGCGTGTTTGATAGGGATTAATTTATTAATTATTTGGGGTAAAAAAACTCTTATCACCACACCAACCATCTGTGCATTATCAAATAAAACGAAATGAAATTATATAATTGAATCTCAAAAAGTACTATTAATTATGTGAGCTGTATTAGAAAATGAAATATAAAATTCATTTATATATTATTTAGATTTTATTTTATGAAGTGGTAAATATATTTTAAAAAAATGTGACATGCTATATTTTTTCAAAGCACTCAAAAACTACCTTTAGTTTTCAAAAAAGAAATTTATGTAATTTGAATCTTAGAAGGTCACTAAAGTCGGGATAAACATTATCACCTAAAGTATTTACAAAGATTTATATAGATTATACATTAATGAGATTCTCATAATGGCAATGGGGATTTGAATTTATACTTTTAATTTTGTAAGATATAACTTGCAATATTCTTACTAAACTGGATCAACGTTTTTCAAGTACATATAAATTAATATTCTCACATCGGAAGCAACTTTATTAAAGGTGCATGATCAAATACTAAATGCAAGCTTTCTATCATGCTTTAAGGAATTATCCCCTTCCACCATTAGATCAAACGCCCATTGGTACTAACCAATATTTTCAGAACCGGATCGGACATTGAACTGGAAAATCAGCGATTCACGGTTCGCATGGTCCAACCGGTGACGTAATAATTAAATTAAAAAAAATTATATATGTATATAATAATTTAAATATAAGAAATACATATGAAATTGCTATTTAACTTAAAAAAATTAAATATTTTAAGTTTATCACTACTTAACAAGCCATATGATACAATATAATATCAAATGATTAAAAAAATTACTCATTTTTTTAAAAATTTGATAAAAAATAAAAAAAATTTGAACAGTCCGATTTTTGAAAACCAAATCCGGTTCCCAATCCGATCGCCGGTTTAAAATGGCTCAAACCGGCTCAACTCTTAAAACGATTTTTTTCCTTTGAACCAGATCGAAAACCAGACCGGTCGACGGTCCGACCGGTCTGGTCCGGTTTTCAAAACAGTGGTACTAACTGAATCAATATTTATTTGCTAGCTATCCTCTCTCCATATGAGTAGCTTTTTGTAAGAGACAACTAGGTAGGTGATGAGTGGAATAGAGAGCAAATGAGGCACATGCATGAATCGCATGTTATTGAACACCAGATTAAAAGAGAAAATGAACAAAAACAAATCGAAGGGTCCTTCCACTTTATATATGTGATCTCATTTCCCATGCATGTGTGTTAATGAGAGTTTGACAATATGTTATGGGGACACATCACATGCCAAACCCTAATTTACAGCACCTCTTGGCCCCTAGCTATATGTAATGTGCCTCCTCTTCTCAGGACCACTCTCTCAATCATTGCCTTCTTCCACCCACCCACCCGCCTAACCCTACCACCTCAAGATCTTTCACTACACACTCCCACTTCAAGCTTCACTTAGATTTCCCATGCCCTCAATCTACATCTCTGCTATATTATATTATTTCGTCAAATATTCTCTATAGTTTTGTTCTGGGAATGTCGCTCAGATTCCACGTCAGGTGTTTACAGTACGTTCCATCGACATGGTAAGTTATTTATGTTAAACATGCCCAAAAAAAATATATTCCAAGTCATATCGATCATCACGTATGTACAGGTCCATCGACATGGTAAGTATATATGTTAAACTTGTCCCGTCACAATATATGTACTTTCTTAGATGGAAGTCTCATAGTTATAAAAGAAAAAAAGGGTCCACCTCACTCTTATCTCTCTCTAGTCTCAATTTTATGGCATAAATTACTTTAAGAGATCTGATCTCTTGATATTAGCTACTAGGTGTCTCATAATATTTATTAATCTAATATATAGTAAAAGAGAGTTGGGTTTGCAGTTCAACTTTTATCTTTTTGACCCTTTCCTTGCTGTAATGACTTGTTGTGAGTTCTACATCGCAAGGAGCCTCAATAAAAATAGAGAGTTTGATTTGAGAGGTTCTCCTATAAAACAAGCTAATTTTTTGAAATATAATTTCTTTTAAACTTACATTCATAACAATGGTACTTTCATGTAGAAATTAAATGTACAGAAGATTCTAACCAATAGGAGGCTGATAAGTAAAATTGTTGAGGATAACAACTCTCGAACAGGGGTGCATTGTTATGAGTCTTGCGTCGTAGGGAGCTTCAGTTTACTTTCCCATCTAACATGCATGCTGGAGTTTACAAACTTTCCCATCTAACATGCATGCTAGTTCTATAGGATAGGTTCTTTTTTAAAACTTATACTCATAGCAGAACTCTTTTATAATCAAGTACATTTCATTGTAAAATAAAAGTTCAAAAACACAGTAAACGAAAATGAGAAAATATTATCATTATTATTATCAGTTTTATTTTAGTAAAAGTACGAGAATGAGTGTTTTCTCTGTGGATCTCATTTTTCACTCAACTTTTGCCACCTAACTTTGTTTTATATCAAATATAGCCTTAAAGGTAATGATCATGGAAGAAGGCTGATTATAAGATAATTACAGATAAGTTGAGATGGCTGGTTGTTGAGGGGATACGGAGGTTCCAAGAAAACTTAAAGAATGATAATGTGGAGAAAGAAAAAGAAATTAAAGAAGCAATATGCCGCGTGGCCCTAGTTAAACAGCACAATGATTGAACTATCTGTGTCCTTGTCTCTGTAATTGAGTGCTTAAAGTCTTAAGCATATTAGTCCACTTGTTACTCCTTTAGCTCTCCAACTTGCACTCAACGTTTTAAATATGCTTTCTAATAATATAATTAATCAAGTTTCTGAACCATTCATTCTTCAATCTACATCTTCCAATATTGTTGCTCCCACCATCTTTGAATACCACCATTATTGTACGTCCAAGATTCTAAAAGATAATAGATGAGTTATTTTAATCTTGAATAGAATTACACAATTATTTAAGGTCTATACGCCTAATTTATTTATATAATTAGCTAGGTGGGAACAAATGCAGCTCCTTTACAAAATTGAGATTTAACTATTATTTATAGTTTATAATAGTATGACTTTTTAGAATTTTATTAACTCTCTGAATATTACGTATAGTATATAATCAGGTAAATCATTTGAGATTGAATTTCACCCTTTATAATTTAAGGGTTACTTTTTAGAAATTGTTTAGTTAATATATTTTGACAGATAGATTGATATGAAAGGATTGGTCCTCCACTTAAACATGCAGGGGAAGACTTTGAGAGTAAAAGACCAAATTGACTAGATGTTTTCATGGATCATCATCAAGCCTTATCTTCAATTTCTTTAAATTATTATTATTATATTATTATTGTTTTTTCTAATCCCATAATTGGCCGAGTATAGTCTCCAACCTAAGCTAAATGGTCCTTGAGCAGGAGGCTGCCGTGTCGGCCAAGTACTGGGTCAACCATTTTGTTTATCTTGATCTTCCCTTCAATTATTGAATGGGGTCATCTCTTGTCTCACACACATATATATACATATATAAATATATTGCTATACCTAATCCCAGATAAATCCCTTTCTAAGAGATAAGGACTCGTCAACAACGTCACACGCCCTTCATGAACTTAACCTAATGATTAATTCTAACACTAATCATTTTCGGTTAATTTATTAAAGTTTAATTAGTAGGCACTAATATCATCATTTAATTTATACTTGAATTAAAATGCAATATATACACCCCTCCATTCAGTATTATAAAACAATTTTTTGAAAAGTATTGTGCTAAAAAAAATAAAGTTTTTTAGGTCTTTCAAGATGTAATTATAATATAGATTTTTCAAAATTACAATATCTTTTATTAGAGATGTAATTAGTATAATTTTTAATTGAGATATTCCATTAAATAAG